GACAGGGTAACTTACCCCCCCACCCCTCCCCCTAAACTGAGATTTACTGTTCCTTTGGCATGGAAGTACCTTAGGACCATAGGAAACATTTTATCCAAAAAGACAGGTCAACCATGTCTGTAGTCATTATAAAAGGGAGAAGCTACTGAATCGATTGGCATCAGTCTTTCCAAAGACTACACACTGATCACTCGGGACTCTCCTGTAAACTTTCTCCACCACTTATAAAACTTCTCTTAAGTATCTCTCGAGTATCTTCTGTATTAAATAGGAAAGTAATTAGTCCTTGAGCCAAGAACCAAAATTTCACATATCGGTACCACCTGGGTGGACAAATTCTAGTTGTGATTTTTTTATTGCTATACATCCCTACAATAAGTTTTTATATGATAGACCTTGGTAACTGGTAGCTTTATTGTAGTTATCACTCATTGAAGTAATAGAGTGCAGCTGTTCAAAAACGAAAAATCGCCTTCCTTCAAAATTAGCTTTCTTTCATTTTAACCTCTCATTTAGGTGTGTTTGAACTATTGGCTAGCCATAGAGACTTGTAATAACCCCCTAAGTAGTATTTCAAGTAATTTATCTAATACAGGTGTGTATATATAAGCTTCAATTAGCCAATTGTTAGGTCTAAATCAAGGTCTAAATTAAGGATATTTTTTTACTTAGAAGTAGAAGTAAAGTAAATGCAGACTAATAGCATTATAATAACACAACTTTAATATGACACTGACATATTTTAAATGCAGGAACTCATTATACAGTCATCCTGGCTGGTGCAGGGCAAGAAGACATTAGCAACAAAATAAGATCTACTGATGTATACACTCTATACAATCATCTGAGAAAAACTCCAATTCCTATTCAAAGTCCTATTCTTTCCATAAGAAACAGTGACAGCAAATATGACTGTCAAGTTTTGGCTTAGTACATAATACTGTCACTGAGTCACAGTGGGTCTGTTAACATAGCTCCCCTTGGTCATCATTTATTAATCAACATCAGTAATCGACATCAGTATCTGTATCTTCTTCTACATCTGAATCTACCGGTGTGCAAGGGGCTCTTTCTCACTGTATTGGTTGGCACAAGTTTGTAATTTGCACAGGTTTGTGCACTTCAGCCCATTGCTGAGACATGTGCAGTCTGGTGGTTTGCATGTCCTCACACACTTGCAGGATAGCAACTGCAAGACCGCATCTGGTGCTGGGGAACCACACAGCCACTGTTTTCTAGCTGCCCTTCGTCATTTATGGTCCACCCATGGTCCTTGGGGCTTGGTACAGATGGCTTGGTATGAAGAGACCGTCTCCAGATAGCAGCCTGGTAGTTGGCACGAATCGGGTGCATTAATACGCAATCCTGACATGGTGGAAGATGGCTGGACTCAACTTTAGCCAAGGTCCTGCATGAAGGTGGTGATAGTGAAAGGATTGATGTTGTCTTTGACGTTTACAAGGACATGTCAATCAAAAAATTCAGAAAGACTAAACAGAGGTGCAGACATGGGGATCCAGTTCAGAAACATTGTTTCTGGCCACAATATTCAGCAGTGGGGGAAACTTCTCTGCAGCCCTGCCAATAAAGCCAGTCTCATCAAGTTCTTGGTGGAGGAATGGAGTTTTTCTCAGATGATTGTAAAGAGTGTATACATCAGTAGATCTTATTTTGTTGCTAATGTCTTCTTGCCCTGCACCAGCCAGGATGATTGTATATTGAGTTCCTGCATTGAAAATATGTCAGTGTCATATTAAGGTTGTGTTATCATAATGCTATTAGTCTGCATTTACTTTACTTCTTCGGTCTTGCAGTTACTATCCTGCAAGTGTGTGAGGACATGCAAACCACCAGACTGCACCTGTCTCAGCAATGGGCTGAAGTGCACAAACCTGTGCAAATTACAAACTTGTGCCAACCAATACAGTGAGGAAGAGCCCCTTGCACACCAGCAGATTCAGATGTAGAAGAAGATACAGATACTGATGTCGATTACTGATGTTGATTAATAAATGATGACCAAAGGGAGCTATGTTAACAGACCCACTGTGACTCAGTGACAGTATTATGTACTAAGCCAAAACTCATATTTGCTGTCACTGTTCCTTATGGAAAGAATAGGACTTTGAATAGGAATTGGAGTTTTCTCAGATGATTGTATAGAGTGTATACATCAGTAGATCTTATTTTGTTGCTAATGTCTTCTTGCCCTGCACCAGCCAGGATGACTGTATAATGAGTTCCTGCATTTAAAATATGTCAGTGTCATATTAAAGTTGTGTTATTATAATGCTATTAGTCTGCATTTACTTTACTTCTACTTCTAAGTAAAAAAATATCCTTAATTTAGACCTTGATTTAGACCTGACAATTGGCTAATTGAAGCTTATATATACACACCTGTATTAGATAAATTACTTGAAATACTACTTAGGAGGTTATTACAAGTCTCTATGGCTAGCCAATAGTTCAAACACACCTAAATGAGAGGTTAAAATGAAAGAAAGCTAATTTTGAAGGAAGGCGATTTTTCGTTTTTGAACAGCTGCACTCTATTACTTCAATGAGTGATAACTACAATAAAGCTACCAGTTACCAAGGTCTATCATATAAAAACTTATTGTAGGGATGTATAGCAATAAAAAAATCACAACTAGAATTTGCCCACCCAGGTGGTACCGATATGTGAAATTTTGGTTCTTGGCTCAAGTACTATGATACCTGAAAGAACTGCTCCACCATCAAATTGGGCCACTCCCACTTCATCAACTCATTTAATTAGACACAGTTTTGATTCATTTATAGAAAAGAGCAGTGTGACCCAAAAAGAGTGTGACTTTTAATGTGCTTTTGACTTTCTGTGTTGCTTTTGGAGTTAACAAAAATTCGCCTATTGAGGAAAATAACAAAATGAGAAAAAATATAAAAAGCTACCCCTATGAAAAGTCTATCATATTTTAATTTACTTATATTGACCCTAAAAACAATTTAGTATATGTAAGGTTTTGCCCACCCAAGTGGTACCGACATCTGGTCTGGCTCTAGGACTAAATACAAACCTCAAACTGAACCTCAAAGTGTCTCAGATTTTCTGTCACCTCTGATTTCATCCAGCTGTCACAGACCCTGGTATAGAATTCATGTTTTGTGGCAGCAACTGGCTACGAGAGGTGTAACACTCAGCAGTCAGATAGAGACACATAGGGCTCTATTTTCATGTACGCCAGTGAGGCGACGGAGGGTGGCGAACCCCGCGCAGTTGTATTTTTGTCTGGCGGAGCCCGACGTAAGGCCAGTTTGGTATTTTCGTGGACTGAAGCGCACGGAGGCAAACCGAGATCCGCCAAGCTGGGCGTGGTGGCGAGGTAGGGGGAGGTGTCGACAGAATCAGCGGGCGCAGTGACATTTTCGTGCTCGCCAGTGGCGTGTAAAGTGCGCTGAAAGCTCGCCGATTCAAACCTGGTCAGCTTTCAGCGCAAGCGAAACGCAGCTGGTCTAGAGGTATTTTTGTAGACCGGCGTTGTATCGGCATGTCACCGATGCCTCACCGGCAGGTTTCCACAGTGTCAGGAACATTTCAGTGCAATAAATAATCATCCAAAACTAATAATCTGAGTCAGCACATACATTTAGATCTATATCGATATATTCTGATCTATATCTGCTCTGACACACAACCTGACCGAATCAACACAGCTGAAACCACATTAAATTAAATATCTAGTAAATAAACACACATGATGAAGTTAACAAGATATGTGATTCGTCTCCCTCCTTTTCTTTCTTCCTCTTATTTCTCGCGCAGCTCGACCTGGACATGTCTCTGTGTCCTCTCTCCGTCCTGCTGCAGCTGCTGCTGCAATGGCTGAACAGATGATTTGTTTCAGTGATTAGATGAGTCATTTACTTTAAGCCTACATGCGGATATTATAATATCAGTTTTGTGAGCCAAATTTATTTTATATGCCAACATCTATGAAAGAAAGAGCCAGGCCACTGAGCGCAATGCGTCATTTACGCACAGATGGTTCTGATTTTAATGCCATTTTTGGAGTTAATGTTGTGATCTGTGCGCTCAACCCACCTTTGTCACGTGAGGTTTGAGTATATGGAACTTTATGTGAGTGTCTTTATTTGTGGAAAAGGGTGTTTGTCTTACCAGTGGGTCCAACATTACACACACCAAATCCATCTGTGCTCAGATGAGAGAGTGTGGAGGACGCCCAATGCAGCGCTTACAGTGACACTTGTTGAGGAGCTGCCTTCTGTCACCATCATGTGGCATAACTGTCTTCAGACATCTCTTGATCTCTTTAACTACTTCCCGAAAATTGTACTATGCCTCGCCGGTGGCGGATTTAAAGGCAAGGAGAGGAGCTTATGTGATTGGTGAGAACAGGTCTCGGCTGTGTTAAACCCACTCCACGCTCTCTCTCCTCCCTTCCTACAACTTACGCCGCTGGGAGGAGCTGAGTTAGGGAGGGGAGAACGCCTTGTCGGCGCGGCTGACCTGACTTACGCCGCGCCTGCGGCACATCTCCAGCGAGGCACGAAAATAGAGCCCATAGAGTACATAAGAGGCTGTTTTCTTTTCTTTTTCTTTTTTAGGGGGGCATTTTTAAAGTCACCTTTTTGACACTTATTTTGTTCATTAAATGTGCATCCTTACCCCCATTGTGAGGGTAATGAGAAGACTATATATTTTTTAGTCTGGAGACCTTTTCATATGGATTTCCTGAACCCAGAAATGTTGACTTTGACACTAATATTATGATTATAGCTCTAACAGAAGAAAAGATATGGGGTCTGGTGTAATAGTGGTGCATTGTCGATGGTCATTTTTTAAAATGTCTATAAAATAAATGAAGGGTGATCTAACTTGTCTCTTTGGATAAAATGTTTCCTATGGTCCTAAGGTACTTCCATGCCAAAGGACAGTAAATCTCAGTCTAGGGGGAGGGGTGGGGGGTAAGTTACCCTGTTAAAACGTACATTTTATAATGAAATTTGCATATTTTACCCCCCGCTGTCATGGAAATTAATGATGCATTGGGTTTTTTGCATTGAAACCTATTTAATTGAATTCCTAGACCCCAAAAATGTGCACTTTGACACCAATATTATGATTATAGCTCCAACAGAAGAAAAGATATGGGGTCTGGTGTATTAGCGGTTTATTGTCGGCAGCCATTTTTAAAATGGCTATAAAATAAATGAAAGGTGATCTAACTTGTCTCTTTGGATAAAATGTTTCCTATGACCCTAAGGTACTTCCATGCCAAAGGAACAGTAAATCTCAGTTTAGGGGGAGGGGTGGGGGAGTAAGTTACCCTGTCAAAACGTACATTTTATAATGAAATTAGCATATTTTACCCCCCACTGTCATGGAAATTAATGATGCATTGGGTTTTTTACATTGAAACCTATTTAATTGAATTCCTAGACCCCAAAAATGTGCACTTTGACACCAATATTATGATTATAGCTCCAACAGAAGAAAAGATATGGGGTCTGGTGTATTAGCGGTTTATTGTCGGCAGCCATTTTTAAAATGGCTATTAAAAAAAATTGAAGGGTGATCTAACTTGTCTCTTTGGATAAAATGTTTCCTATGGCCCTAAGGTACTTCCATGCCAAAGGAACAGTAAATCTCAGTTTAGGGGGAGGGTTGGGGGGGTAAGTTACCCTGTCAAAACGTACATTTTTTCATGAAATTTGCATATTTTACCCCCCGTTGTCATGGTAATTAATGATGCATTGGGTTTTTTACATTGAAACCTATTTAATTGAATTCCTAGACCCCAAAAATGTGCACTTTGACACCAATATTATGATTATAGCTCTAACAGAAGCAAAGATACGGGGTCTGGTGTATTGCCGGTTTATTGTCGGCGGCCATTTTTAAAATGGCGATAAAAAAAATTGAAGGGTGATCTAACTTGACTCTTTGGATAAAATGTTTTCTATGACCCTAAGGTACTTCCATACCAAAGGGGACATTTGTTGCATGACTTGAAGTAAAATGTGTCTTAGGCCCCCAACTATCATGGAGATCTGTTTCTCCTCATCCTTGCCAAGTTCTCCTCCCAGCTGTACATCATGCCACGACACACATGTACTTGGGCGGACAGTATTTACAGAGCTGTTTGATTTATTAAGATTACATTAGATAAGATCAGATAAAACTTTTTTTATCCCACGGTGGGGAAATCTGCAGTGTTACAGCCGCAAAAGATCAACACCACAAACAGCAGAATAGGTACACTCATCATGCACACAGCACACGGATAACTATTAAAGTTAATGTAGACCTATACAGAAAATGTTCCACAGAAAATAGAGGAAAAATGTTAGAAACAGCAACAACAAAAAAATGGTTCTACACAGTTGTTAAGAACCAAAACGTGTTTTAAGGGGATGAATGATGAATGGGGTAACAGTAATTGAAAAACCCAGGTTAAGTAACAGCATCAAAGTATTTATGAAAACAGGATACATGTTTATTTGCAAAGGCACTGCACTATACCTGTCAGTATACTGCACTTTACTGTTGATTCTATTTTTGTTTGGGAAAAGTTCAATGGAGAAATTCATTTTGGAGTTAGCCTATTTAAATGATGCACAAATATTTTTATTAATTCATGTAACATCATCCTAATTTTATATTGGACAAACATTGGACCATTACGTAATGAATGATATGTGTATCTATGCATTTTATTGAGTTGATATTGTAATATATTGATAAATCCAATCGATCATAATTGACTGAAATAGATAAAATTGAATTGAATAGTAGTGGGCTTTACAATGCTTTGTGCTATTGTTTCTATACAAAAATACAGACATGTACTTGATATCTGTCCTCATTTTTACCGGCATCATCTTGAAAAATACTAACTTTAATAACAAAAACATGTTAAAGAAGCTGCTATGTCCTCCATCTTTCAAACTAATCAAAACAAAATAATAAATTCCTTCAGTTGAGCTTAGGTACATCGTTTCACTTGTAAGGGTTTTAAATCTTCAAATGCCACTGCGTCACAACAAAATTAAAATGATTGTGGATAATTATACTGATCATACTGAAGAGAAGAATAAAACAAAACTGAAAAACTTGCTGTGTTTATTAGAGCTAATACTGTAGCTCTGACAAAGAGAGGACAATCATTACCTGGAGAATTTCAAACAAAAGTAACCTTTTAGACTAATTTGTGTGGAAATGCTACTCTTTGGCCTTACACTGAATCCATGATTAAAATGTTTACTCATCAAGTGTTTTTTGGTTTTGATCTGGCTGCTCTGCTTTGCCTTTTGTTCCTCATTTGTCTCCAGAACAAAAGCGGCTAATTAAAGATCCTCTGATATAGCAATCATCAATAGAGAGCAGCCTATAAACAGAAAGCAACACAAATGAATGATGATAGGTCTTTTTGAGGATACTGCTCTCACATGACATGAATCAATCAGTTGACAAAAACAGGCTTGGGCTCGACAACAATAAGTCCAATTGAGCCGAGCTGTGATTATGATTCAGTGAACAGCGTGATCCAAAGAAAAGCAGTGTTTAGCTTTCCTAGGAGGGAGTTTGCAGCCTCTCGGGGCCCCGAATCAGCCGATTGTGTGTCTGATGATGTTAGAAGTGGCACTCAGTGGGATAACTCTCAAGTGATTGAGGGGGGCAATGAGATTTTTGTTTATTCGAGAGCCAGGTGCAGATAACAGGGCCATTAATGATTGGAAGTTGATTAGAAGTCACTTCTGCAGAGCGCAGCGTGATGCTTCACACTTTAATCAGGAACAAAAGTTAATGGCTGCAAACTCTCATTTGTTTAGGACTTAATATCTAGGTTACTGTTTATCATTGGCTTGTTATGAAATATGTGACTACTAATCATCTTTCAAGCAACTCATAGCCATAAAGATTTTAATTTGGTACTGCCATTGACAGTGACGTTAAATCATCCCTGATAACTTGGTGTTTAAATTTCTTACCTTCAAATTTAAAGCTCTGAGTCATTTAACTTTGGGAATGAAAATTTGAATTTTGTCTTTTATGTACTCAAGGAAACCAGTCAAATTAGTTTAGGTGTTACTGCCTTCAAATTTAATGAGTAAGTAACTTTACTTTCAAAATTAAATACCTGGGTTGGTATCGACTTTAAAGTTGCTTAATTTACCACTTTCAGATTTAAAGCATATGTCATGATCAGGGTCAAGTTATCTTTATTTGGCTCATTTCATGTCTGATGTCTCCTGTGTGTATTATTTTGAAGTCAGTAACCCCTGTCTCTGTTTCAGACGTGTTCCTGTCTGCCCTGCCCCCGTCTTGTCACACCTGCCTCCTGATTGTTCTTCCCACCTGTCTCCCATCACCCTCATTACCTCTTGTACTGAACCTCATGTCTCTTACAGGCTGTGTCTCATTTCGGAGACCACATCAGCAGGCCCGGTTCTACGGGGGTGCATAAGCATGCATTGCACCCTCAGTTTATGTGGCTGCATGCTCAGTTGGAAAGAGGGAGAAGTGCGCGCGCGTCAGGGCACGTCACTCATCTGCCTTCCTTGGGTTCACTGCCGGGAAAATGAACTTAAAGCTGGACAGAATGAATGAGAAAACACCGCTGGAGATCTCCGGCTTCTTCCTCAACTTCCACCTCCTCTCCGGACTCGGGGTCTAAAATATATGGTTTAATACCTGCCGTTTTTAGCCTTTAGCATAAGGTGACCAGACGTCCCCGATTTCTGGGGACAGTCCCCGTATTGGATGACCTGTCCCCGGCAAAAGCTGTCCCCGAAAATGTCCTCAATTTAAGCGTTTCATGAATGAGAGCAAAAATGTTGCGTGTGGGCTCGAACAACGGTTATTACAGTAGCCGAATGGGTAGGAAGCACAAGTTAGCAGTCCTGAACAACAGTTCTTACGGGGTTATTACAAGGGGCATGCGCTGCTACTAAATAGTACCGAGATTTTGTCTGTGATCACACAGCCCCTGCAGCCCCTGCACCGCCGCCGCCGCCGCACCGAATATTCCAGGATATCATTACAGACATCTGGGCACCTTACTTTAGCACACATTAGCATATGCTATTAGCATTAGCATAATAACAATGGATAAACCGAAATCCGAACCTCCACTGTTGAGCCAATCAGAGCACAGCAGGCTTCACAGCAGCGATCCAATCAGAGCAAAGCTCATTACCATAAATGTTAATGAGCCAAAACCAGTTGGTTTTCCTGTAAGGTTTTTTAGGCACACTAAAACAAACCATCAAATAACTTTTCAGCTAAAATTATGTTGCAAACATGATCAGAGGACATCAAGGATTATGAAAAAATGATAAAAATGGGTATGAAATTTTGGTGGCAGGTTCCCTTTAAAATATTTTTTTTTGACTCGTAGAATTCCACTTGAAATGACTGTCATGTTTAGTGATGGTTTTGAGTTGTATAGTTAAAAATCGATTGAATTTCTATGTTAAATATGCAGAGTAAGAAACGTCTGCTGCAAAACTGCATTTGAAAGACACTTTAAATGTTCTTGTTTGACTATTATCATTCCACATGAAATGCCTGTCATGTTTAGTGATGGTTTTGACCTGTATAGTTAAAAATAGTTTGAATTTCTATGTTAAATATTCAGGGTAAGAAACATCTGCATTTCCTTTTTCTACAACAATTTTGCTACAATAAAGCATATGAAAGACATTTTAAATATTCTTGTTTGACTAGTTTCATTCCGCTTGAAATGATGGGAAAATGCATAATTTAGTGTCGAATAACGTGCCAGGCATGTGCACCCCCTCTGATCTGAGATGCACCCCTAGTCATCATTTTGTAGACCCGGCCCTGCACATCAGGATAAGCGCGCTTAGCTGAGCGCACTGCCGTTATGTGGACTGGAGTACCCTGGGTGAGATGGTCCGGTTTTTGTGAAATGGGACACACTATCATGATCTGTGTTTTGTTGAATCCACTTCCTGTTTTATTTTGAAGATCCTGTTTTCCCTGTGTTACTGTTACTTTTACTTCCTGTCTTTGTTCTTTTCCCGCCTTAGTTAATTACTCCATTGGCTTCACCTGTGTCTTGTCCCCTTTTCTATTTAACCCCTCCTCACTAGCTCTTCCCTGCCAGATTGTCTTTGTCACTTTCGTACAAGCTTTCTTGCGTTCTTGGTATTTCTCTGCCCTCTGTGTTTGACCTGTTTTGATCTCCCTGGACTTCTGATTCTTGCCTGCCCCATTGGTTTTGTCACCTGATTATTGCTGCCCTGTTGATTTTGACCCTGCCAGGTTTTTGTGGATTAAAGAGTTTGCCTTTTTTGGAAACAGAACATTTGCCCCACGTCCTCTGCTTTTGGGTCCACACACTCTCGGCCTCTCACACACACTACCCTTCGGAGGACTTCCTGGTTGAGTTGCCAAATGTCCCCGCCAGAGCAATGGATTAAAACAGAGTGGCGACACTCCCATAGACATACGCTGTACAGCCCGGCGGACCCCACTTCCGGGTTATGGAACTCGTTATAGTTCCAACATGACCGCCTGTCACGTCGGACGCCGTTCGCTTCTATGGCCACAAGGCAAGCACTCACCGAGGTTAAATGATAAAATATCAACAAGTTTAATGCCAATACGTGTGTTATTGATATCGAGGGGACCCCTATATATGTAAAAATGTATATCCCAAATGTAATTACGTTGTTTTAGTCAGGAACTGGGATCGATTTTTTAGCCACGGTTTGCTCCCACACTCCCCGAGGTAAAATATTGTATCAACGAATGTAATGCCAATACGTGTGTAAATGGTATCGGGGGACCCCTTTATATGTAAAATGATTTTAATTTTAGTATGCTCAAATTGTAATTACAAATGTAATTCCCTTTTTTTAGTGAGGAATTGGGATCGATTTTTTTAGCCACGGCCTGCTAGCTGGA